ACATAGTTTTGGTACAGGGGGATCACATAGTTTAGGTACAGGGGATCACATAGTTTTGGTACAGGAGAGCACATAGTTTTGGTACAGGGGGATCGTTTGCTTCGTGGATTGATACGGGTTTTAGAACAATTTTCGGTGAATTTGCGTTGATTTTATCCCCTCCGACGACCATAATCCTTTGCGTTTAAGCAATAGATTGTTTTGATGTGACGTCATAGTGAAATACGGCAATTGGAAAGATGATGGTGGGGAGAACCACAAACAAACATAAGACGAGTTTAAAAGCTCGATTCTGCATAGTAATGCATTCTTTATTTCGTTCATAACAGCAAGGAACAACATCCAAAATCTCAAGTTATCATCCTTCTACCATCAAGAGTGTTAGCATGTTGCTTCCCGATTTGACTTAGGAATTCAACTGTGAAGTAAATGGCTGGCAATGAAGTTTCGAATTATGGCTTACGTAATCCAAGTAATTATGTAAGTAATTATGTGATAATAGTGTGCTTTTCCTATGTCAAACTGAATCTATTTGCCTATAGTACGGCATTTGAAACCACGTTTCTCTGCTACTACTCTAAATTTAGTCCATTGCTTACCTTTTGAAAAAGAGAATGTAAACTTGAATGGTAAATTAAGATATAAAGCTTTGCAGATGTTAATAAAATGTAAAATATTCATCGTAGAAATTGTACTGAGTGATACTTATTTATTTGGCCCATGATTGAGGTCATTTCAGAAAAAGGGAACTCGATGGTGTAGACTGAAAGGTGTGTATGTTATATGCAGCTCGTCGGATGGCATTTGTCTTGTGATTTGCTGGTCGGTTTATGCTGTGATTGGATTGGTCGTTTGATTCTTGCGTCTCTGACTAGAGTGTTTTCTTATCGTCGGTAGCCGTGCTTCAGGAATTTCTATACCACTTTCCCTTTGGTATTAGGGTGGATTTTGTAGACCACACCTTCTTGTCTGACGGGAGGGAGTGGGTCTTTGAGGTGCACTAGGTAGCTACTTAGTGTTGTTGTACGTATTGCCGGTTTTCACATGACGTCATCAAAACATAAAAATCTCAGCTATTGATGGTATAAACGCATTTCTCAAATATGGTTTAGAAATCAGTGTTATAAGTTCCAAAAAAAGTTTCGAGTCGTTTCGATGTTTGGTTTTCGAGTTATGAAGGTCACGAGTTTGTGTCACGCAATACCCTTACGTCTATCTAAATAGCGATCAAAATAGTAAAATAATTTACTGTAATTGAAAGATTTTCCCTTAGGCGCGTTTTAAATATCTATTTAAAGTATATTTAAGTAAAATATAGCCAAAAAAATTAAAAATTTCATCATCTTAAGCCTTTGCAATTTCATCCGCCATGATGGTGTACCAACTTAGAACACCAAGATGGCCATACATTTTAACCAAAAATTGCGTCATGTTTACTCGCCTATAGTTCCGCAACGAAATGTTTTACAACCTCGAAATTTGGCCAGAATATGTAGTTCTATTTCATTATTCCATTATAATGCGAATTGATGCTTTTGAAATTCGTGATGACGTAGGTGAAAACCAAGAATATGTTTCATATTCTCTTAAAGATGTTATGCTTATTTCACAATAACTTATTGTGTACAAACAAGCCATAAAAATCGTTTTCAGTAGTGCTATTCGATTAAAAAATGACGTCAGGTATGTTTTGTCATTCAAACGTTTGCCAACCATTAAGGACGGTGTCTACTATTGTCCACGCGTACAGGGCAGCTAAATTTCAAAATTTATTACTCGAAGGTACACCAAACAAAGCGTTTATTTTCAATAAAAAAAAAGCTGAAACAGAAAACGATTTTAATTAACCCAGGCTTATTAAAGGAATTAATTAAAGAAGCATAAGTTTTTTGGGGCGCATGTTTTGAAAAAATGGCAGACTCATAGTTCTCAAAACCCAATTCCTTTCAATAATAAAGCTTAGTACCGTTTCTCTAAATTTAACCCTATAAAACTTGAATAAAGACGAACAAGAAATACATGTGGTTTTTCAGAATTAATATACAACAAGTTCCCCAGTACACTGCAATGCCACCTCGACCCGCAGTTTTTTCTCGACCTCGGAAAGGCTAACGGGAACTAATGCTGTTATTTTTACAAATGCTATTACAGGGAAAGAAAATCTATATCGCAACATTTTTATATAATAAAACTCGAAGCACTGTAAACCACGTTTTTACTATCTTTTCAACCTCTAACTCCAACAAAAAACTTGTCCTAAAAAGTCTCTAGGATGGTGGATCATTTTTGTTTTGTTTTACTCCTAAATTTGTCAGTGCGCAAAATTTTCGATATCTAGATATCAACCTCTAATTTATGAGACCTTCGAATTCGTTACAACTCCAGAAAAACATAAGATGCCTGAATGCGTCAACACTATCGCACTTTTATTTCGCCAATGGAGTAGTTAGGTTCCACATGAGTATGCATTATTTTCTAGGTCACATGAGAGCGACCTCAAATGTCGGAAATTTATAATAACTTTAACATATTAATTTCAAGATATGTATGTTTTAGTTTATGCTTTATTTAGGACTCTTTGAAGCATTTCCCACAAGAATAGCAAAAATTACTTGAGGCCGAGCAGGTAATCGAACACTCGGGACAAACTCGACCTACGATATTATTCATGTCGCCTAAAGATGCAGATGACTTTAGATTTTGTTCTTCGCTTGTTTTAGGACCAGTAGCACTTAGAGAGCGCGGCCTTTGATGGGAAACATATTCCAATATTGGATAAGTAAAACGAGGCTGGCTGGTAAGCAAGGAGTATGGAAGACGAACACTCGAACCATAAACTGCATTATGTGGTGCAAATGCAGAGCGCATGTTCGAACTGTATTGTACAGAAGCCGTTTCATTTTGTTTTGCTAGCAGCATTGCTTTCTCGTGGCTTGGCAGGACACATTCAATAGCTTGCAAGACGTTTCCAGGACAGCCTTTCAGGATTAACTCCAAGACACTTTGCTTTTGTGTTGGGAAAAGTCTGGAAAGTAATTCTAAAGCAGGAATATGAGCGCTATTCTTGTGAGCACCATTTTCATCATAATAGACGTCTTGACTTCTACTTGGCGGAGATACATCTTTATCTGCCACAGAGCTGTTGGAGCCACTTTCTTGAGATAAAGTGTGCTGCCTTTTTGGCAGTGGTTGATTAATACGAGGTTCTTCGTATTCGTAAAACACGTCGTCTGCTGCACCATCGGAGGGTGACTGAAATGCCGTGTCCTCGGAAAACCTTCGTTTCAAAGGAGACCCTAGATAAATGTTATAAGAAATTACAAAGTTAGTTACAGCACTTGGTCCGCGGTCACTAAATTTCGCAAGTTCATACTAATCTAGTTGTCTCGAAAAGAGTATTCTTAGACAATAAACCGACTGTGCGTCCGGTTTTAAGATTTTTCGAATGGTAACGAAATAAATGGAAACATATGTAAAATGACCGTGACGTTGGCCCAATCCAAGATCGTAAATTATTACTAAGATATGACTGGCTAATGATAAGGTTTTGCCTAATTTTGATCATGACATCCAATTCAGTCTCACGTACAACGTCTATCAAAGTATGAAAGTCAAACGCGATAAAACACCCCTGTCTGTTTATCAAACAGTACATATTAGTTATATTTCGATGCTTCGTACGTAAAATAAAAAAATGACAACTTTGTTCATGCAATACTTCATAAGTAAATTTTGCGACTCATCGATTAATAAAACAAACAAACACAAAACAAATTCTAGTGTACCTAAATCTTGCGAATAGCACTGGCAGTATATGAATGCATAATTACTATAGTTCTATCAAAATGCTTCATCGGGCCAGGAAGGTGTAACTAATGCTTTATTATTTCGTATTTTTATGTGTCCATATGGAGTTTACTTGCAATATTTATATATATTTTTTCATTTTGCTTAGATCACATGATCAAAAAACTATCTGTTAACTAAGCAGTCTTCGGTAAGTTTCTATACGACCTGTTTATAGAAATTAGGCAAACAAACGACGAAAATCTTGAATTTTCGTTAAGGAAACACATGAGCAGTACGTACACAACAAATCATAGTTTAAATATGTATCAATATTGAGGAAATTTTGCAGTGAGGACACCCGAACTGAACACTTCGAGTTTTCATTAGGTTATTATTTCCTGAACTTTCGAACTCTTTCGAACCTTATAAACACAGCATTGAGTTCAAATACACCGCGAGTGATCAAAGTAAATCTTATTTCCAATCGATTAGCTCATGAAGATATGAGTTACAGTATGCATTTTAAAAGTGACAAAAAACTCACTGTAATACGACCTATACATTAGCCGTAAAAAGCCTACCTTCTTCATTTTCTTTGGCGGCATCTTTTTCTTGGTATAAACTTGGAGTTTCATTGCTGTAGTTGAACGTGTGACTTTTATTAGCTTCTTGTCCATTTACTACTCTTCCAACGTTTGGTCTGTCAACTGAGCTTGTTCGAAAGACTAAACACGGAGAAGCTTCAGCGTATCCCACCACATCTTCTTCATCCCGTTTAAGAGCGACTTGTGCGGCCATCAAGCGTTGTCTCTCGATGATCAAACTACATTTGCTGCACGAACACTCTTTCCATTGACAATACCGTTTGTGTCCCTTTAGATACGAAACAACGCCATGGTTTCGGCACCTGGCACATCTTGGTGAACGTATTACATTTTCATCTTCTAAAGTGGAACCCGACGACATTACTGCGGTTATGGCCGTATAGTTTGCTAGCCTACTCGACTCAACTGTTAGTTTTGTAATTTGCAATTTTTTTGTGTAATAAGTGCCATACCCTAAAACTGTCACCCCTAAGCTCATGAACAGTCAATACTTTTATTGTAGTCTGTAAACAATTCACTGATAGCCGGCAGCGTTGATTGGCTCGGCTAAGCTCTCTAATCAGTACTTTACAAAACTCGGCGTACTTGTCATTGGCTTTTGTCGGCCCGTGAATAAGATTCATTCTTATGCAGATTTATTTGATTTACTCAAAAGGTAATTGTCTCTTGTCAGCCTTGGCTTTCCAATATTGGATTCAACACTTAAAAGAATCTAAGATCCCGTCTTTCTGACACGACTGTCAGCTAGCATTAGAATTGCTCTCTATAATTTGTATGTTTTTTCTCTAAACAAAACACCTAAAAGGTTTTTTTTTCTGAGGTACATGTATGGCTCTGGGACTTTACTGATATAAGACAATAGAAGAAAGCACAATCAAACGTCAATCATTGCTTTTTTCGAATACTGTAAAATCAATATACTCTCAATATACTCAGACATAATACATATACCTTTTAAGCCAGGGTCTTTTTTCTTAACAGAATTGATTGATATAATCTCTTGAAATATCTTTTTCTTTGTTTTTGTACGCTCAAAAAAACTCAGAAAAACAGAATAAGATGACATACTGGAATATATCATTTGAGGGTTCCTCTGTTGTAGCTGTGTGGTTAGGTTAAACACACCATACCTATGGTGGCCCACTTATTAATAAAAGTAGTAGTTTTACACTACACTTTACTCGCCAGTTTAATCAGTGTTTAATAAGTTATTTTATGACAAAACCGAAGAGAAAAAAACCACGCGAAACAATGACTCCAAACATATCCACCAAGTCAGTTCCAGGACGTTTGGCTATATACAAACGACAAACATACTGCCAAAATTACAGACAATGGTGTCCAGGTGTTTTCAGCGACTCGGAAATATCACAATTCTATTTGAATTTGCCCAATCTTGGCGAATTATCAAGACAATCTAGTTTCCACGTGATCTTTAGTCTTGTGATGTGGATTATTTAAAAAAATGAATTTGAGAAACTCTGAGAACGCAGCCAAAATAATGCATCTGTGCCCGTATTTGAGTTACTGGATTCGAGCTAGGATGCAAGCTATTTGAATCCTGACTTTGCTTTAGTATTTCTCTACGCTTATTATCCTCTATATTCGTTGCTTGGTCAAATTTGGACTATCACTGTACGCTGTCACTTCAAAACTTCCAAACGCTTTAGTGTAGAGCTGAGACATGTAGGGTAGACTTCGTGCACCCAACTTGAACTCTGGTTGTCGGACTGCACGCAGGCTTCTTGAGGGCCGCTATGTATTCTTAAAGGATCAACCTGAACTAGACGCATAGTGCAAGCGAATATGCCAACATACCCATGTATACCTACATCCAGGCTTACAACACCTCGAGTTGAACTGAAAAAATGCAAACAGATATGATATATCGTACCCAACTGTATGGTGTGTAGTATAATTGCTTCGGAGTTCTCGCCCCATGTAAGGGAATCCGGAATCCACGCGGAAATTTTAGGCTTTGGAATCCGGAATCCAGCACTCTGGAATTCGGAATCCAGGCCTGAGTTCCACTGAACAAAAGAGCGAACATGCTAACCAAGGGACTCGCGACATTCTATGTTTTGTATACGCCCCATATAGCTGAATACACCGTCTGTCCCGTGTTCCACAACGGACTCCCAAATTATTTGTCGGACGATTTAGAAGAATGTATTCTTGCTTTACCTACTCATCCCGAAGCCCTTACAACAAGTAACTGATCTTATCCTACTCTACGAAGGCAGAATTACACCCGACAACCAATCTATTCAATGAATCTGCTTTTATGAGAACCACATTAAAGCTGCACGACTCAGGTACTGCCTGATCCAAACACATGTAGTGTGTGTGAGTGAGAAGTGTCCCCAATTAGTGCGAAAGCGCTAGAATAACTACACACTTAAATAAAGACGTTTTGTTTTAATTATTTATGTAATGATCATCTTAAAAGTTAGCGGAGTTTGTGCTCAAGTGCTCATATGTAGGACCAACAGACTGAAGAACAGCATATATAGTATAATTAGAATATATATGGCAAGATCCAGAACGTTTCTCTTCATGTTTATCAGATATAACTCAGTGTTTTCCTTATTAGTTAATTATATTTTATCAAACAGTCGCCCTTGGTGTACTGAAAGGTAAAATACCAAGTTTCTTTGTTTATTATTTTTATTTATCTATTTTATTTATTACCTTTACAACTAGTTATGGGAAAACAAAAACATACGGAAAAAACTAGTTTAGGGTATGTGAGTGGGTTCATGTGTGAGTGTTTGAATGACAAAGCTAAATAAATAGATAAATGAATAAATAAATAAATAAATAAATAAGAAATATAAACAAATACTGAGCAATAAAAACTTGCATGATTCAAATGTCGTGGATCTGAGCGGCATTTTAGAACAGTATAGGTCTTCCTAGTGTTTCTTCAGCTATTCGCGGCGGTCTTAGTATGCGTGTATAAGAAACCATTTATTAGCATGAATACGCTCTGCTTGCGCCTCTACCAATAGCAAAAGAACAACCCCGACCAAAAGTGTTTTGTTGCCCACGTTTTCATTCAATTCATTCTTTTCCATATTATCATCATTATTTGAACAGTTAAGTCAGATCTACCATAATTGCGTTTCCCGACTTATGGCAGTCAGCCAAAGTTTACGACTTTCTTGCGGCCATTTTAGTTTTGGCCAGAAATGACAAATAGTATCCCGCAATTAGTGTATGTTCTAAAGTTTATTTGCGTGCTCCTCCTCACGAACGCCGGGTTTGTGTACTAATGCTTTTCCCTTCGCTCCAGGCAAAGTTTGTACGTTTTTGTTGTATGCTATAAAGTTTATTACACGTGCTTCGCCTCGCAAACGTCGGTTTTGTGCATTGCTTTGCATTCTTGGTTTCCCAAAACGTTGCACGTTGTGTTCATGGAAGTTGCATGATACAGATTATTATACGTGCTTCGCCCCACAAGCATCGAGATTGGGCAGTGCTTTGTTCTGGGTTCCCCGAACCTTCCATAATCTATATATATCTGTGTATTGAGTTGTATCAAGTTTTTTAGATTTGTTTACAGCTAGAATTTATTTCTTATCGTTGTATTTTTATGTCCTGCTTTAACATGTAGGTTGTCCATTGCGGGTTTGTGAAAATACAGCATATATATATTTACACAAAATTTGCTCTGTACTAACTAACATGTTTCTTAAGCTTTAGATTTTGTTTTACGCTGTCATTTCGGTTTCGTTTTTTCATCATAGCTTGAATTATATGCGTTTTTTGGTTTTTAATTCTATGCACTACACTTCGGTATGCTGCCCACGTGAAATTTTGGCCGTGTTTTGGCAACCAGCTGTTAAACTAGACTGCGAGCGGTCCCACTTTTCTCTCCAAATTCGCTAAGCATCTTGGTAGTTGGAGTGAAATGACGCCATCATACAAACCTCCTATTACTAGTATTATAACGGCTCCGCCGTACACTGCTCGTCCCTCGTCCCTTACGGACTTGGTCGGTGAGATAGGAACGCGCACATTTATCAGTCTAAAAATCCAAAATGGCGACTGAAAGGTACGAAAGAGATTAAAAAACGCGCTAAAAATAAGCAGAAATCATTCTGCCGTGCTCCCTTGGTGAAATCTTACTTGCAAATCAAATCTAAATGAATATTTATGGCAAAGGATTGTTTTCCAGCAGAGCGAAAACTGATCGTAGCATTCCAGTCAAACCTTAAAATTCTCGACTGTTGTTTAGTTTTGGCGAATTTGTTCAAAATGATCAACGATCGATCGAGAGCACATTCGACCTCAAGTCCACATCAAAGAACATTAGGGGCTCTTACGTTCTAGGCAAAATCAACAGATAAAATGTTCCATGCATGTTGTCGGTGTTGATAATACAATACGGTTGTTCAAAATCGTCCCAAATACTGAATCCAACGAAAAACACACACGATAAATTGCCTTTGATATCTCAATGACATTGTAGTACGTACTTTTAATTCAAAATTATTTCGATAACACCAAAAAAAATAAAACCTATCAGGCAGTCGGAATGTAAACATCTCCTATGCTGGCGCCAAAAGTGACGAGGATTTGACAAGTGTGAGAAAGTCAGTTTTGTCTGCAGTCCCTACTTTTCCTCTCCATTCTCCCCGCTCCAATCTCCGCGCGCTTCCACAGGAATCCCAACTATAACACTAGTCAGGCAATATAGCGTATCTTAATAGACAAAAAAAAAAAAAAAAAAATAGCGCGCAATTAATTCTCCCTTCGTAACACGCGCGCTCCTAGCAACTGGTACATTTAACTATAGCACGCGCACATTGTTATGTTGCGTGTTTCTTGTAAAACTGTCACAACCGTTTGCCTTGATGAAGAGCAAGATGCTCGAAAGCTTGGCTTGATTTATAATTAAAAAGCTGATGAATCATAACTATCATGAAGATATGAGTATTTTGCGTTTAAAAGTAGCCGTGTTTGGGCAAGGGACCGTGGGTCGGCAAGAGAGATTTAAGTTTTGCGAATTTTAAAATACAGTAGTTTTGTGTAGGCCAGGAGTCGGGGTTAGCTATGAGCCCTAATTCGGCAAGGAGCCGTGGGCCGTAGCTCGACAAACAAAATTTAAGTGTGTGGTGTTTTTAAGCAGACGTATGTCGGCAACACGGCAAGGAACCGTTTGTCGACATGGAGGCGTGGGCCAGCAAGGAACCAGGAGCCGTCGATGCGTCGGCAAGTCCATCAAACATTAAAATTGTTGTCAAGATAGACTAGAAATGACTCGTTAGCAATGATTGTTTTGTATGTTCAAGTTTAATTACGCTTCTGCTTTCAATCTTTTTTTATCATATAATTGGATGGAGAAAAAGTAAATAAATAATTCTGATGTCGCCACCACGGAAACCAGTTCTGATTTTTCGGTGCGTGATAAGGGCCCTATTTTCTTTAAGGTCTCTGCAATTAGTGCAAGCCAGTTGGTCTCTTTTTCATATAAGTGCTTTATTATGGTTTTTTCTAGCCCCGTCGATCCCGCCCCCTTGCCTGCTGTGACGGACCGTTTCCTTCCTTTTCCTTCAGTAAGACAAGCGTGTCAAATGCCACGTTAAGAGATGCCAGGACAAGAAGTTTTCTTCTCTCATTTATGCTCTCCTGATCTAAATCCTGGATTTTGTTACCCATTGCTTGCACACCTTATTACGTTAGTGCGCATGTTCCGAACTATTTTCACGTGCCCTAAATGCTTCGTGGCGTTTATCGGTGAAAGCGGCATTCAAAAAATCGTCGAACGATTTTTTTCTAAATGAAGTCACTAAAAAATGTATCTTTTACAAATAGTCTCCTTTAATTTCATATGCATTGAAGGGTTTTAAGGCAGTCAAATAAAAATAAGTACGCTTACAACTATTTTCGCTCACGGCT